ACCAAGACTGGCCCCTTTGTTTTGCTTTCTATGAGTGAAGCATTTAGCCAACTTTCAGATTCCATTTGACTAAATGGTGTGATTACAATCTGATGAGAATGTCTAATCAGGAGAGGGATAGAGATGAACTAAAGGTTGGTTAGAATTGTTTTGAGGTGCTACAGCTCTTGGAGCTTCTCCTTTTAGCTATAGAAAAAGAGAAAGCTGAACACAGCTTATTGTTTGCATATAGCGCGGCTTGTGAGATATAACATTGTCTAAGAAACTAATTTCCCTTTTGCAGATTACTTTTACCTTCATGGTTTATCCATCACTGATTCTTGCATATATGGGACAAGCTGCTTATCTTTCACAGCATCATGTTATTGAAAATGAAAGCTATCGAATAGGCTTATATGTTTCTGTACCAGGTATGTATTTTCCTAGTTGCTTTTACGGGGAAAAGAATAAAGCTAGAAGGAAATTGAGCTGATGAAGGACGTCTCAATTATTTGTTCCAGAGAAACTAAGGTTGCCGGTTCTGGTGATTGCTATACTTGCTGCCGTGGTGGGGAGCCAAGCCATCATCACTGGAACCTTTTCAATTATTAAACAATGCTCCTCGCTGGGTTGCTTTCCTCGAGTCAAAATAGTGAATACATCATCTAAAATTCATGGACAGATATATATTCCAGAGATAAATTGGACCTTAATGCTACTATGCTTGGCTGTTACTATTGGCTTTAGAGACACCAAAAGGATGGGCAATGCTTCAGGTATGAATGTAATGATATGAATAAGGGAAAGTAAAGTTTTGATTAGTCTAGATCATTTATTCTTTCTGGATATAGTGTTAAACTTAAAATGCCTTTATTCGAGTTCCAGAGAATCAATCTAGATTGACTGCTCAATTTTATATTCCCAGTTACAATTTTCCATGCACGAGGAGGGACATTTTCATGTTCAATTTCCCGTGCTTTCTCTGTATTTTTTCTCTTTCACCTGCATGAATATTTGTATTCTTTTGAAATTTATTTCGCACTTATTTGCACTGTGGATATGAGGATCTCATAGTTGAAAAGACATGCTGAATAATATTTCATTACTAATCCTCATCCCTAATTTTGCTTTGTATCAAGTTTGGCAGTCATAACTGTCATGTTGGTTACGACTTGCTTGATGTCGTTGGTGATTGTTTTGTGCTGGCGCAAGAGTGTCCTCCTTGCACTTTGCTTTGTTATATTCGTTGGGATGATTGAGGCCTTATATTTCTCAGCTTCTCTGATTAAATTTTTGGAAGGAGCATGGGTGCCTATTGCAATGGCTTTTACTTTCATGATAGTAATGTGCATTTGGCACTACTGCTCTTTAAAGAAGTACGAATTTGATGTCCAAAATAAGGTCTCTGTTGAGTGGCTACTCGGTCTTGGTCCCAGTCTAGGCATTGTACGGGTTCGTGGCATTGGCCTCATACACACGGAGCTTGTATCCGGAATCCCAGCTATCTTCTCACACTTTGTTACCAATCTTCCGGCATTCTACCAGGTCTTAGTTTTCCTTTGTGTCAAATCTGTCCCAGTTCCTCATGTTAAACATGAGGAGCGTTTCCTGGTTGGACACATTGGCCCAAGAGAGTACCGCATGTACAGGTGCATTGTCAGATATGGTTATCGCGATGCTCACAAGGATGATTCAGAATTTGAGAATGATCTTGTATGTAGCATAGCAGAGTTTATACGGACAGGAAGGACAGGGTTGAATGTTAACGGTGAGGATCTTAGAAAGGATTTCGACTTTCGAGGACCTCACCGTTGTTGGAACCCCTTCAACTCATTTATCAGGAGTTCAATTTTGCAAGGATGAGGATGTAAATGCTGAATTAGTTGGACCATCAGAGCGTAAAGAAATACTTTCTCCACGCGTAACCAAGCCTAAGAAAAGGGTGAGGTTTGTCATACCGGAATCTCCCAAGATTGATAGAGGTGCACAAGAGGAGTTGCGCGAACTAATGGAAGCAAGGGAAGCTGGCATAACTTACATATTGGGACATTCCTATGTAAGAGCCAAACAAGGATTAGCTTATTTAAGAAAATAGTTATAAATTTTGGATATGACTTTTTGAGAAGGAATATTAGACCACCTACATGCTAAGGCTGTCCAACGGGACAGGCCGTCCCGTCCCGTCCCACTTAATTCTAAACGGGATGGGGCCATGTTAAACGGGACACAGGATGGGACGGGATGGCCATTTCGTCCCGTTTCGTCCCGTCTGGTCCCGCTTGTCCCGCGTCATTTTTTTTTTTTGAATTATAGTCGTTGGGCAACGGCTTCAATTGCAAAAATAGTCGTTCCCAACGGCCATCTTTGGCCCCCACCACCCAACCCCCCTCCCCCCCAAAATTTTTAATATAATCCCTAAGTTTATTAAATTACACTTTGGTCCTATTTTCTACTATAAATACCCCCATCCTTCTTCATTTTTTTCCACAAAAATCAATCATTCTCTCTCAAATCTCTTACATTCTATCTATATTATTCTCTTAATTTTCTCACAATCAAGTGATAAGTTTCAAGTATTTGGGCAAAGTTTTGGAATTTTTGGTATATTATCATACTATTACACAAATATTATGGTATATTTGCGGAATTTCTGTTGTATTTGGTAAGTATAAAACTAATCCAACTTATGCACCGGACATTAATGAAATGATTGCAAAATTTAAAAAGTATTTTTTCCCTATTCCCCAAGTTTATTTAATTTCTACTATACTTAACCCATCTATAAAATGAAGAGGTGCAAAGGGACTTGTTCGTAAAATTTATGAGAATTTAGCAATTCAAGAAAATAAACAACCATATCTCGAAGACCGCCAAGCTAACATATATTCTTATGCTAGATCAATGTTTGATAAATATAAATCTATGGAAACAACATGTGGTGAAACTGCTCCTTCTACTATTAAGTCTAGAGTAAAGTTCTATGGGAAGATATGAATGATATAACAGGTTTTGATTCCTCTATTGATGATGAACTTGATTCTTATCTTAATCAAGGATTGGAAAGTATTAAAGACGAAGAAGGCAACGAACAACTTTTGGCATGGTGGAGGGAGCGTGGCAAGGCTTTTCCAACACTTTCAATAATGGCCAGAGATATCCTTCCTATTCAAGCATCATCAGTAGCATTGGAGAGTGCTTTTAGCGCGGCAAGGTTTCAAATCGGAGATCATAGACATTCATTAGCGGAGGACAGCCTAGAGATTTCTGTATTATTTAGAGATTGGATTAATTCAGAAAGAAGAAATCTTGGTTTTGAAAAATTAACCACTAGGGAACAAGAAGAATACAATGAGATACTTAGCACTGGGAGCGATGACGACATGGAACTCATGGAACATCAATCAACATTGTCAATTCCAGAACAATGCCCGAGAGAAATTATTGATAAGTTACAACGAAGTTATATATGAGCTTACATATATTAGTATGATAATTTGTAATTGGCTACTAAGAGGCTGCGTAGAATTATATTTGTATGTGAGATTTGAAAGTTCTATTAATAAAATAAAAGGCTCTAAGCGTTGAATTTTTTTTATGAATTGTCTTACACTCTTACTTAATTACTTAATGGCTTGAAATTATATTAAATAAATTATAACTCTATTATAAATTTATAATTACTAGAATATTTCATTACAAGTCTTTTGTTTTAATATTTTATAATTCTTTACATAGTTTCCTAATTTCCGTTTAATTTTTAAGTTTATTAAATAAGTCAAAAAAATTAGTCAGTTGCAAACTTTAAAAACTTAGTCATTGTCAAAAAAATAGTTGCCAAACTTGATGCTTAAATAATTCTTTTTTTTAAAACGGCACTTAAGGCCCGCGAACCAGTCCCGTTCCGTCCCATCCCGTTTGTTAGTGGGACGTTGGGCCTACCGTTTCGTCCCGTTTGTCCCGTCCCGTCCCGTTGGCCAGCCATACTACATACACATTAAGTGTACCCCATGCTTCTACTTTAGAGGTAGGAATGGCTTACAATGTATGATTTTTAGCATACGGGAAAAAACAAACAATGAATGTTGTACATGTGTTTGTAGTTTTTTTGTGAATAGAAGAAAAGTTCAGTAACATTTTACCATGATTGATTGAGATTGAGAGATATCTACCATTGACAACCCATATTCTTATAAACTATTTGATCTTTTTCAGTTCCCATATTGTTTAGAAAACAAGGATAGAACTTTTTCCATGCAGTTCTTGATGTGTCTTACAATAGCAGGAAAAGTTTAAGGAAATTGTAGGAGGGGAAATGTCCATTTGTGTCAAAAAAGAGCTTTTGACACTACAATGAGCTAATTTACCAGGACCACAGTGTGGGCAGATGCACCAACTGTTTTTGACTCCAGGTGAATTGACATTCGTTTTAACAGATACTATATATTTATACAAGTCCAAATCTATTGTCAAAAAGAGGCGATAGACGCATTGCTATTCCCCACCCACAGGCTTGAAATACTGGATTCTGTAACACAAACCAATCCCGGAACTAGGTGTTGGCAAGGAGTTTCAATTGAATCCCCGTGGCCGGAAAATTATACTAGCCAAATATATATATTTTTTAAAAATAACCAATTGAACCTTTGACACTAGTAAACATTCTAGTGAAGGGCAAGAAAATATTTTTTTGCCCTGTTTACTCAAATTCTGGCTCCACTACCGTAACAGACAGTAACCAATCATTAGGATCAGCTACATATCATTAACAACAGTTAGTTGACACCATAACCTTAAATAATAATGAACTAAAAGAAAAAAGCTACATGGTGAAAATAATAAATATAGTACTAAGTATCAATTTTCTCAGGAAAAAGGGCTTAAAGATGAGCTGAAAATTGCAGTACCCAAATAGAACAGGTGATTAGAAACGAAGAAGTTGGATATTTCTACTAAAACTCAGAGGGAACAATGGTATGTCTCGTCGATGTGGATGCATAAATATGTATTGACTCTCTGCCTAGAAAGATTAATCTTCTGTTCTTCAATTTATGAGCTTTTCTTCCTTTCTTTTCTCGACTTTGCTTAAACAAAAAGTATTACATCAAGTAGCATCATAGTTTTTTACAACCCGTGACTCTTAAGACCGAAGAGTGTCCTTAGTGACCTGATCAACAACAAAATTTGAGGGGTATTATAATATACTAGCCCCTCCTGGTCACAATTACAGCAAGTACGGACATTTATTCATAACAATGGTAATAGCAGTAGATAGATCAACTGCATCTAATACAAGTAGAAGTAGTTATAGTGGTGGTAGTAGTAGTAGTGGAGTTGTTTGCCAAAGCATCAGCTTGTTAGTTTGCTTCCCTGCACACGTGCATGATACAACACATCAACCTGCAATCATTCACAATATGAAAGTATAAGTTGTCGTTCTTATTAATAAGGCAATGTAAGAGCTAAGCACCAGTTTTTTAACACCCCTAAAGGTTAGTATGCAAATGAGCACACATCAACCAGTTTGCCATAGTTTCAATTTTTACAGAGACATAACCAAGAGAAATCTTCATGTAAATTCTCTAGTTTGCTCACGAGTCGTGTGCCTTTTATTACATTACAAAGAAAATAAATCTGAGGATGTGAAAGTTCATGCAAGGATATCCTGACCCATAGAAGAAGATTTTATTGACGGGATGAAAGGATATCATTGCTTCCTACATCTAGAGGTGATCAAGGTTTCATAACAGTTGAATAAAAGGAAGCAAAGTATGTCAAAGTAAATGAAAAAACAACTCAGGAGTGCATAGATTAAGAGGATACACCAACATGCTTGTAGAAATAAGATGAACGCGTGCCAAGACCATACGCACATTTCTGGACCCAACCCCTATAAAACTTCAAAATTCACCTGCAGTAATACAAGAAGCATAGGATCTAAAGCCACAAATTCATGACATGTAACCTTCAAACACTGCTGAAAAACTGAAAGAATGTCCAATGTCTTTTACAGAATGCAGAAGCCACCAAACACTACAATGGGAAATGTTCTTGTAAAAAGTTGTTCCTCAAAAATATGCAAAAATAATAGGACAACAAAAATCTCTAAGCAGATGTGGTGTAAAGATAGTCCTTTGAATATGCAATGCATTTTTCCATATTTGACAAAAGAAGCAGAATTGAACAACACGTGAAAAATGTACGGACACTTACAAATTGTTAGCTACACAACAGTCAGTTAGTTACCTGAGTTGTTCAGCCTTTCAATGTTGTGTCGTTGGTTCATTTTGTAGAATTGGACAAACCCGGCTTTCAATGTAAAGTTTCGCCTCAAGCCTATCAACGTTAGTAACCACTGGATGTCTGATTGAGTCATCCTCTGGATTGTATATCATTAAAGTTGATTCAAACACATGCAAAATTTCAGATTTCTTTAACATGCAAATGGGTGGAGAAAGCACGCAGTACTTAGGGTCATTAAGATAGTTGATGGTATACAATTTTGTCTGAGATTCTTTAACCTCATACTCCTTCAGAACCCACACATCAGCTCTGAGTTAGCTCATAATTACAGAGCACAGATAAATCACTTCCCAACACTCCAAGCTTCAAATGAAACTCTCCTTCTCCGTAGAGGGGTTGCTCCATCTTCCAATACTTGTCATCAGCCAAATCAATAGACATAATGCCCCAACCATCACCATCCATAGTTGCCCAGTGAAATTTCTCATCCACCAACTTAGCTGAAGGATCGAATAACAACCCTCCTTGAAAGTTATCAAGTGTTCTCCAAGAATCACTCTTTAAACTACATATATCCACATAGCCATGAGTGAATCTAGAGGAAATATGCACTACCTTATAATCATTATGAACCTTATCATATCCAAAACCAAAGATGTACATGTAACTTAACATTTTTTCATACGCAGTTGTTTGAACTGTCTAGTTGATGGATTCCCAAGCCATCATTCCTAATGCAAAGACAAATTAAATCATAGACAGAACCCACAATATTACGGATGTTTTTCATGGGATAATCCAAGTCAAATGTCTTAGTAACAGACCCGTAAAATAAAGAGCTAACAGAACAATGTTTAAGATTCTGCTCAAGAGTCCAGACATTTGAACTTAACTGAATCAAATTTATCTAATTTCAGCATCAATCTATGGCTGGTGCAATCCAAACTCAGGAGTAGATATTAAACTAAACCAGTCTTTTGAAACACACTTAAACTTCAATAGATATTTCACAGGAAGCCTTACAAGGATATCAGCAATGAGTTCTTGGGGCAAGCTAGGGTTTGTCAACATTGAAACTTTTCTTGAAGCCTTATACAAGGATATCAGTGATGGAATTTGAGCATGGCTTGTGGGTTTGCACCGTTCAGCTTCCATTTGGATTGCACAAAAAAAGTGTTGCCGCAAAAAGAAAATGCTGGGTATCTGGGAGTTTACTTGACAAGAACAATGGAGATGAAGAAAGAAAGGATAGTACCAAATTCAAGGAAACACATTATATTGGTGCACTTCGTTTTCACTCCTGCAGCTCTAAAGGGAGTACAATAAAGGATACAAACACCTCTAACTATCGAAAATAAGTCAATTATACCTCCTCTTTAGTTACTTAACTACAATATTTATTAGGATACAACAACTACTACATAATACTAATTGTTCTAAATTAAACTACACCCATAAAATACTTTAAACAACAAGATATGACTTTCTTATTTGAGTAAATTGTGTTACTGTTTTGATTGTGCCCATAGTACCAAAATTCTAAAACAATGTGCAAAATGGTGTTAAATATTTTGGATGCCAACATTGCTCCATTGTTAATTTTTTTTTTTCAGNTGTTAATTTTTTTTTTTTTTTTCAGGATTCGGAATCAGTTTTCATTTATTACCTTTTTTGGAGGGAGCAAAATTTATTAATTGACTCCATATGCACACAATTTAAGTCCTCTTAATATATTACTACTAAGATTTTGTTGCCTTTTGTTTTAACAAGGCCAATTCCATAAACAACCCCCTAAAGTTGTCAAGATTTTTCATTTCGATACCTCAATTGAGGTTGTGACCTATTAGACACTTGAACTACCACTAAAGTGTGCTATTAAACATGAAACACTTACACGGCAATTGCTGTGTTGCTCACACACATTTGACCTGGCTTTTACTCTTTAACGGTTAGTCCAAAGCTCAAAAACAAATGCAGCTATTTTGTATTATTTCATCGTCCTCATTTTTTTTAACCAAACAAATAAAGTTGCCAAATCCTTTCCTCTCCATGGATTGACTTCTTGTTGTACATAACATGTTTTAATATGATATTTAAAGTTAGTCCAGGAACATGTTATGCTGCGCAGTCATTATCTTTGAAGGGCTAACATTAATTACAGACTTACAGTACAATCTAGCAATCAATTTCGTCTGTTTGGTGCACTTCACTCCTGCAGCTCAGCCACTGAAGACAGAGTATAAGAAAGAGATCATTCAAATTGATATAAGCTTTGGAAATGTAAGTTTTCTTTTTCTTTGGTTATGTTAAAGAGTATTTCACCTGATGTAATGATTTTTTCTTTGGTTATGTTAAAGAGTATTTTCACCTGATGTAATGATTTTTTCTTTGGTTATGTTAAAGAGTATTTTCACCTGATGTAATGATAATTGATATCCAACAATTAAGTTTCCTCTCGTTCGTTTTCTTCTTTCAAATTTTCAGATCTCTTAAATTAGGTTTACATTGAGTGCATCAGTATGCCTCAGAATTTGGTAATATCGTGCATATTTAACAAATAATATACTACTATTTAGTAATATCATTATACCTTTGATTTAGGGTTGTACTGAATAAATAATGTACTACTTTTAGTACACCAGTACATCCAAGAAAATAACAGAAGAGAAATGGGAATGGAACAAGTTAACCAAAGGAAATGGAAACCGATATAAGTTTCTAAGTCCGGTTCCTTTTGCTGATGACCTGATCTTATTTGCTGAAGCAACCAAAGAAAATCGTAACAACTTACTAAACTCTGCTCTCTATCGGGACAAAGTACAAACTTTGACTAGTCCAGAATTGTCCTCTCAAACAATACCAAAATGTCA